TTTGTGGTTTATAATTATTATTGGGCGATATTACAGAAGTGGCACTGAACCCGTGGTGCTACCCTCTTTCGCCTAGAAAAAACTCATACGAAGTAAACACTTCCAATACAAGTCTCAACTTAACTTCTTTTTGAAACAAAAGTTGTGTTATGGCAAGGGAAACACCAATTGTCACGTTGTGTGTAGGTGATAGCAGCTACGTGGAGATAAGCGTAAGTCCTTCTATTCCAATATCTTTACATCGTTACAGCATTGGGAGGCTTGCCGCTTTTTCAGAAGGCGGACATACTGCCTAAATCTGAAATTATGAAAAACGTTAAATGGCGATCATCTTAGGTGGTAATCGCCATCACATTCGCCCACATCTCAACATTTAATGATTTGATTTTGCACCATAAAAAATTACACATAATTAATTAAGTATATAATGGGGAAGTTCTCCCATATATATATATCTATATATATATACTATATACTATATCTATAATATAAACCCAATTTCAAACATGTGGGTCAAACGGTTCCTGAGTTATCGTTGACCGTAGCCAAATGTTGACGGAAGGACGGACGTACGACGATCCATGGCAATAGCTCATCTTGACGATGTCAAGGTGAGCTAAAAAGGAATAATTCGTTAGTTTTACTGCAATAGTTACTTTGCGAAACTTCCTGCTCATATGTACCTCTCTCCTGCTAAGTGCACTTTAGGAAAAATGCATTCCTTGCGTATAAAAAATGGGAAACTACCATTCAATGGACAACTCATCACGTAGATCTATACTACTTACTAAGGAAACTATCTGATTACATGTAAACTAAAATAAATAGCATTTGTTACAAAATGCACACACAAAAAGCTAGTATAGACCCGTTTATAACTGATTCACACTATTTTGCATGCCAAGCATTGCATAATTTGCAGCAGATATACAGACAACATTAAAGATATTCTTTACAGCAAATCACTGCCAGTGCGATCACTGACGGATCAGTGTAAGTGCAATATCCATTCACTAACAATAGAACAAGATTCATACGTGAATCACAATGTAAATAAAACACAACATGGACTCTTAAAGATGCAAGATGTAATGAAATGGACGGAATGTAGTAATGATATTCAGTAGATGGTGCATGATTAAATCAGGAACCTCTCATCTACTAATGTCTTCCTTGCAAGATTCTTTTTCCCCCCGCTGTTTCGGAATATGACAATGCCCTGTAATAAATAAAACAAGCATTGCCAATAGTTAATTCAGTTGCCATTCAAAGACTACCCTATATCTAGGTAATTGTGACTGTATCACAACATGTATCACAATGATTTGAAAGTAGCAATCTTTTTTTCATGAACATACAATATTAGAAGATCATTGCAGCTACATACCTGTGTAACAAAATAACATATGATGCCTGCCAGTAAAAAGTCATGGGCAGCCAAATCCACAATGGTGAACAACATCACGTCAAACACAAGCAGTTTCAGTTCATTGCCATAGAGCAGAACCTTGTCAAATGAATGGCCGCTATCTGAAACGGTTAAAGATTATACAGATTTTTACATGTATACACAGATACATGCAGTGATTGTATCGTCATTCACCTTATGGCAGTAAAAATGACCAAGAGCTAATAAATACCTAGAGTGTACAACGGGAAAATAGTGCTATTTCACGGCAATATTATTCTACTTTGTATGCGGTTCTAGATTAAGTTCATGGTATTGCGTTAAGCGGCATTCTTTGCTCTCTAAAATAAGACCAACAGCTTGTCTCTACGATACTCCTAGGCCGAGATATTGGAGTGTAATCATGCCCTCCCACAGGCCTCACGCCGCCTCGCATTCACAGTATTCACTATCCTTCTCACCTTTTGCGGGTCTGGCTATCGTTTTCCGTCGCCGCTTGGAGCGCTGATAATTGATGTCACATTCCAAAATTTGGTACTCTTAGTCTTACTACACCATATAGTAACTGAGCTGCGTTCTAGAGACTTAATTTAGAAAACATTGCCGGCTTCATCATGACGGGCATTAGCCGTGCTAGGAAAGATAATGGGAAATAAGGGCATAGGCGATGCCCCGAAAGTCACCGATGATAACGAAACGCCGTTCATTCATAAAGTTATCGCGGAAAAAAACGAACTCTCACGAAGCGACTTTCCTAACCCGCAAAAGGCGAGAAGGATAGTGAATATTGTGGTTGCGAGGCGCCGTGAGGCCTGTGGGAGGAGAAGTTTACGAGCCAATATCTCAGCCTAGGAGTATCGTATTGACAAGCGGTTGGTCTTGTTATAGAGAGCAAAGAATTCTGCTTAATGCAATTCCATAAAATTATTCTAGACTCGCAGGCAAAGTAGAATAATATTGCCGTGAAATAGCACTCACTATTTTCACGTTTTTCCGTTGTACACTATAGGTATTTATTAGCTCTTGTTATTCCTAATATAAGGAACATGATTTTAAACATTGCATTGTTAAGAAATTACATTGCCACACTTAAAGCACCCTTCTAACATGGAACCAACTGATTTTTACCCGATGTCATATTCACATTTCTTCGCCCGATTGTTTCGTCAGTCCATGGATGATATTTCATAGATACAGCTCATCTAAATTAGCATCTATATTAATAGCATCTACATTTACAGAATTCTAGCCTTAACAGAACACGCTTACCTGTGAAAAACACACCAGTATCAAACGTGTCATACAGTTCCACATCCAGCACATTCTCCAGTAACAATTTATCCTTGACGACATAATCAATGTCACGGAGAGACTGCAAATGTAATGATGATACACACGATCAATGCGAATATATGTTAAATTTGGTTTATAAACCAACCCAATATTGGTGAAATGTATTCCGTAAATTCCAGCAAGATACGTCGAATTTCAAACTGCGCGCACAGAGGCATTCTTTTTCTTTGCAATTATCTTAAAACCCAGTAATTAACATATAATGCTGAGAAACTGACCAGGATAACTAAAATGAGATGGGATAGCCTTCTTACATGGTCTATGTAACCAGAGAGAAACTTGTTGATGGTAAGATAGGCCTGGATGCCCTGATCAGCCCGCATGTCATCTATGGCTCTAGATGGACCTGCACTAGGTCCACTAGTCATCTGAGTAGGTTGATTCTGTGTGTAAACACTGCAGGTTAACACAACACATGCATGAGAGATTATTACATTTAATTTCTGATACAGGTAAGACAGTCACCATAAGGAGACTGGCTGTTTGCAAATGCTTACTCTAAGGACATTTGGGTGATCTGAAGCAGAGGGGGGGGGCGCTTAGTTAATGCAGCTATTACAATAACCTAGTTAAGACACTTACAGATGTTAATGGCGAGAACACTCGATCATAGTGGGCTCTGAGTTTTTTCGATATGGCCATCTGGAACGTCTGTTGATCTGTGTTTGGCAACAGACCCCTGCTTTGTCTCAGGCTTTGCTGAAATAACCCAACAACATTTTTGTCATCATGGCAGCAAACAGCAATCTAGCTAACCGGAAAATGTTTGCCCACACACCCATCACATTTCCATTACAATGTAACAGTCTCCACATAAAACATGTACAGAAATCTAAATAGGTTTGGAATGCCAATTATATATTGTCTATGTACAAAAACACGCTTCCTATCATATTAGTAATATGATAGGAAGCGTGTTTTTGTACATAGACAATATATTCATGTGTCACGTTTAGTAATTTACTAAACGTGACACATGAATTATGTTTTCCTTTCTCCTCACGTATTTCCATGGTAGTAGTCTGAGCGCGCGTATACTCACCTCTTCCCGTTTTAGTTGTTGGTACGTTTCCCACATGTCGGTATCGGCCACGCCGTTGACAGAGCGGCCGTGGATGTAATAACCCCATTGCTCATACTGCATGATGAACACACTCACCTGCAGCATATTTGAGTTGACACATCAATACCCTCATCAGAGTCAAAATAAACACTAGTCCGGAGCCATGTGGTACAGAATTAATTGGCAGACTCCTGAAGTTGATGTCAGAGGGAGACTCCATAAAAAATCTGCTAAACATCACATATAATAATAATGTGTGATAGAGCGAAAACGTTAAAATGATAATTCATGTCAAGAGAACTTGTGTTAAAGCCATCAACATACGTACATTGCTGACAGAGCAAAGATCGACAAACTGACGGACCTTGTCCTCAATAAATCGCTCATACACGAACATGAAGAACACCCACTGAAAAGGAAAATTAAACCTGTGAATACGTCACAACCTATTGAAAACACACACATGAATATAATTACATGCAAATACGCATGCACGTATATTTATTTATTTACAGGATTAAAGAAGAAAGTTAGATGCTCAATGCTTTCATATAATAATATTACCTGCACAAGAGCAATAACCATGTAAACTGAAACAGCAATAGCCAATCGTGCCATGCGACTATCAGGACAGTCATAGGCACCCTCTTCCTTTTGGAAATTGCTGTTTGGATCAACAGTAGCCAAGTTCTCAAATCCAATCACCTAAAAGTATGAAAGACAACAGGTAGTATGATAACCTTTATAGTTTTAATGTGATTTTATGTATAACAAATAATAAATGTAGTGAGGGACAAGTTGTTGTATACTTTGATGCCAGTTTCGACTTAACTTCCATGGAAATGGGAAATTCTTTTATTGAATGTTTTGCAACTAGATTCGATTTTATACTCCCGCTATGATGCGCACACTCTTTTGCACTCACTCCCTCTCAATCTCCATCTATTTCTCTTTTTTTCTAGCTCTCTCTATCTCTCATACTCCCCCCCCCCCACATTCCCTCTCATACTCTCTGCCCCCATTCTCTCTCACTGCATTATTTACCTTTAAAAAGAATACTGCTGAAATTATCTGAAAGACGGGATTCGTCTTGCGGACCGTCTGCAGCTCGTTCCATTCATTAGCTACGAAATACGTGCGCCAAATGCTGACAGGTGCCGTCTTGGTTTGTTCCTCAGAGTTATTAGATCTGGGAATGCTGACCTTGCCACGGGGCTTTTCCCAGTCGATGAGGAAGATGTCAATTGTTACCTGATTCACCAACATATGTAACACATCCAAGCACTATAAAATAGAAGAAAAAACATATACGTACATTTGGTATATATACATACATATATGCATCATAGAAATATATATACTGTAGCTGTTGTTATTAAATCTGGCCATACCCCTAAAATATCTCCACAGGTGGAGTGAAAATAATCTGCATTCCATAATTAATTGTACTATATGCTTGATTACTGTATTGTAAAATGCGGTCGGTTGCTTGGGTTACCTTGAGGGCAAATGCACACGAGACATATATAACGAAGTTCATCTCTTCATCGGCATTACGCATGAGGAATATCACCTTGTCCTGGTTCTGCAACAGCGGAGCAATAAAATTACATTGTCCTTGTCATTTGATGCATGTCCCCAGTATACGAAAGACATTGTATTAGACATCAGAAGGCTAAAAGACACGAGGTCAACTCCGATAGCTTGTATTAAAACACCACGCTTTAGCATAGAATTTTTCTAGAATCGATTTTATTTTACAATCCTACATATTATTAAAATAAGAAAAAATACTAGATTCAGTAATCATAGAGAGGTTGGGAGAACACCATGTCACAAATGTGTACCTAGTTACCTTAAAAACAATGAGATCCCAGAATGCTGCACCAAACATCACCAAAAAGAACATATCTCCGACTGGTCCACAGGCGAATAGCACCATCTTAACAAGGGTCTAAAATTAAATTTTTTTAATGTACTTACTAATACAACATTGTTTCATCAAAACCAACACGAGAATACTTAAATACTTTCTAATGATTCTTTAATACAATATATAATTATAATGCTTTAATTTAGACACCGACGAAAAAAGCAATATCGAGATATATTACTGAAAATAAGATTGACAGAAATTAATCAAAATAGCTTGAGAGAAGATCTTTACCAGAAAGTCGATAGCAATTCGTCCAGCACGTTTTGACCAACCCCATGTCTTTACGATGCCGTAGACACCTCCAGCTCCTGCCAGGATAACTAGAGCTGCCTTCACCATTCATACACAAAACCATTTATTAATTCACTTGCTGACTAATTTAATAAAATATGTAGTAGTAGCAATTACTGTAATATCTGACTGTTACCACACTATAACTAAGTGACAATATCACTGTTACTAAATGTTAGTCATTATCACCTAATACACATCACACCACAACAGGCAAGTAGTCACTTCTATTAAAATACGTGAGAATACAGAACAATGCATATAGGCATACCTCAATATCTCCATTGTATTTATTACGTGTCATGGAATAGGTGACGGAAAAAGATGTCTGGAATTACAAATTAAAAGAATTTGTATAAACTTACTACACATAAAATGTACAATAATTTTAACACGGTACTATTTATAGCCTCTGTCTAGCAAAATGTAACATTTTAAAACAGATAAAACATATGCCTACTTACAGGAACTTGAAGATCATTATTGTACGATTGTTTTGGTATATCCTCATAGACCACTTTGAAATATGGTTGGTTGATTCTCCCAGTTCCAGTATTATCCTTGAGTTTAATTCTACAATAAAACGTTTGCTCACAATATGTTTTGTGTATCCAATATTATTAACCAAACGTTTTTGGCAAATCGCTTTGAGTGAGAGAGATAGAGAGCACAGAAAATAGAAAGAAAGAATAGAGAGAGGGCGAGAGAGAGAGAGAGAGGAGAGAGAGAGAGATGAGAGAGAGAGAGAGAGAGAGGAGAGAGAGAGAGAGAGAGAGAGAGCGATATTTATTAAATATTATGGAAGTGACAATAAATACAAGAACTAATAGACTATATTGGTATTGTAACTTGCCTGAGTTCCAAGTGCCGAGCATATCTAAGGTAGTCTGACATTGAGCTGTCAATAGCACCATCCTTCCTTGCTAGAACGTTGTCTATCAGAAACAACCTTGTTGTTAACTGCCACTTCCCACCATCTGCAAAGGAACAACAACTGAGAAAATTGCATGCAATCCACATTTGTACCAACGGAAAATGTTTTACTGTTAGCTATCAGTATCAAGTCCTATTAATTGCCATGGTATCCTCACCTCGATTGACATATTCTCCATCTTTTGTATAGTTGACAACAAGTAAATGGTACAGGATAAAGTACATTTTTGTGGAAAGTAGAAGACATCCCACAGCTCCAACCTCTGCTTGTCCCATAGGTATCGGCTGCTCACGGTACACTGACGATAGTAGTTGGCATTAGACACAAATAGAAAAAGACAGAAGTTACTAGGTTTTTGGCTTATGCCGTTGCTACACTGCTGGTGAAGAAAGACTTACAGGCAGGTAC